ATAGACTAGACTATAGACTAGACTATAGACTAGACTATAGACTAGACTATAGACTAGACTATAGACTAGACTATAGACTAGACTTAACAATTACACAAAGTGTTGCCAGATTAAAAAATTTATAATATTTTTATTATTTATTTTATTTTTTAGTACAATTTAATAAAATTTAATTAAACATGTTTACAAAGCTACATTTTATAATATTTTTTGTTGCTTTAGGCATAATATTTAATTTTAAAAATTATTATTTGTTTTAGTTATAAATGCAAATAAAATACCACAAAAAACGCATAAACAATAATAACAAATATTATGTTAGAATTGTTAATAAAATGTATTTAAATGATAAAATAGAGAAAAAAAAAAGTTTAATAAACATTTAAAATGCACAAATAAAGGCAAAATGATGAAAATAAATAAACACCAAAGGAAATAATAATAGAGACTATGGGTTGAAATCAAAAGTAGTAGAAAAACGAATGAAATAGAAATAATATATTTTAATTTACTTTGACTATTACAAGTTTTATTGTCATTTTTATACTTTTTTTAGATTTTTGCAAAATGTACTTATTATTATTTCCATAACTGTAATATGCAATTACTCCTCTTATAAACTTTGTTATTTGTTTGGCGCCCATTTTTTCAAACACATTAATCCAACAAACCATTTTAAATACTCACACACACACACACCATGACACTAACTACTATTACTGTTATAAATAAATAACTAACAGAGTTGCAATTTTAAATATTGTGAAAAAAAGTGTATAGGAAAACGAATTAAAGCATAAAAAATAAACATTGATTGCATTATTTATGCATGAACAGAATTAAATATCAAAACGACGACTGGTTTGTAGATTTTATTTTATTTCATATAGATTTTTTCTGATTTGTTTGCATTTGCAAAACTATGGCGACGTTCACAGAAATATCATATAGACCAACAATGTTGTCAATTAATTAAGAAATAAACGTTAAACTAAAGTCTATTGGTGTTAATTTTGAGAAAGTGGGAGTAAATAGAGGCATGGCATCCACGCCTAAAGATCAATCCCTCCGTGGATTGATCTTTAGTTATGATAAGTTTCATATACATACATTGCTTCAGTAGCTCTTATAGTGTACACAAAGTGGTCGTAAAGGAAGGCGTGGCATGAACCCAAGATCTAATATAGACCTTATATTCTTCCTATAATATCATTAGCAGATATTATTTACAAATTCTAGGACAAAATAAGCCTCAATTGTCAACACTCTCCAACGTTACGGTGCAATGGTTGATTTGAAGCGAATAACGAACGACGAACGTAATGACCGCACACAACACTTTTGTATGTTTTGCATACATAATTTTATATATTTGTATGCACATACATATATACAATTTGGCCGAGATCTCTGTAAGCCTATAGACGAGTAAAGTTGTTGATTTTTATTTAATGTTTAAAAACATGTATTTTCATATATAAAAAAATGTTGCTTTGGGAAAATTTGTTTTTGCTTTTGGCCTGAATGTGTGTGTATTTTTATATATCGTGGTGATTCGATTGAATGAATGAATCAATGATTGCCACTATGAGTCACTTCGATTTGAAATACATACATACCTACTTGTTTGTAAGTATAAAACGTAAGTGGATGTGAAATAGTTGTTGTCGTTGTCGTCATCGTTATCGACAACATCATCAATCTGTGTAAAATCTAATGGGTTTTCATTAGTTGTTATTTTTTTCGTTTTTCCAAATGTCACTGCAAAACAGAAAAATGTCTGTGAATTTTGATAGAAACAGGGCGCCTAGTGTTTGGTTGTATGTAAGGCAAACATCTCACATTGGTATTTCCAAATGGTGATGGTCATATGGTAAAGTGGATTTTTTTGAAATTGTAAACTTTAATTATTTTAATTGTTATTTTCTCGATATTGTCAGTAAAAAACTTATTTATAGAGTCAATGTAATGCTTCGCACTGATATGATTCTGACTTTCGCTTACAATAAAAAGAGTTCCGGTTCTAGTTCAGTTCAAGTTCTAATTCAGTTCCAGTTCAGTTTTATTTCAGTTCTAGTTCAGGTCTAATTCAGATCTAATACAGTTCTAGTTCATTTCTAGTTCATTTCTAGATCAGTTCTAGTTCAGTTCTAGTTCTGTTCTAGATCAGTTCTAGTTCAGTTCTAGTTCAGTTCTAGTTCAGTTCTAGTTCAGTTCTAGTTCAGTTCTAGTTCAGTTCTAGTTCAGTTCTAGTTCAGTTCTAGTTCAGTTCTAGTTCAGTTCTAGTTCAGTTCTAGTTCAGTTCTAGTTCAGTTCTAGTTCAGTTCTAGTTCAGTTCTAGTTCAGTTCTAGTTCAGTTCTAGTTCAGTTCTAGTTCAGTTCTAGTTCAGTTCTAGTTCAGTTCTAGTTCAGTTCTAGTTCAGTTCTAGTTCAGTTCTAGTTCAGTTCTAGTTCAGTTCTAGTTCAGTTCTAGTTCAGTTCTAGTTCAGTTCTAGTTCAGTTCTAGTTCAGTTCTAGTTCAGTTCTAGTTCAGTTCTAGTTCAGTTCTAGTTCAGTTCTAGTTCAGTTCTAGTTCAGTTCTAGTTCAGTTCTAGTTCAGTTCTAGTTCAGTTCTAGTTCAGTTCTAGTTCAGTTCTAGTTCAGTTCTAGTTCAGATCTAGTTCAGTTCTAGTTCAGTTCTAGTTCAATTCTAGTTCAGTTCTAGTTCAACTCTAATTTAGTTTTAGTTCAAATCTAGTTCAACTCAATCAAAAGGATTCAATACAAAAAGTCAATTTTGTTAAAGAATTCCTTTGTAAAATTTATTTGCATTCAAATAACGTTAAAATGTTTTCAATATTTATGGTAATTTCGTTTTTAAAGCGCATGTAAAAATAAATTTAATACATATTTATCTGTTACAAAATTATAAATAAAACTACAATTTACATTTGCATGATTCGTAAATATACATTAATATTGACGTATGTTTTGTAGTCAAACTATTTAAACAGTAAATGAAATAATAAAAGGGTTAAACAACATCATTTTAAAAGAAAGCTATAAAAAAGTTGGCAACGCTATGTTTTGTTTAATTGCAAATTGTATGGCAGCACAGTATATATTCTAACTAGGTTGTCAATTGTGAGAAAAGCAGAAAATTTTGGCAAAAAAGGTGTTTTTTATTAAACTATTTTAATTTTCGAAACCTTGCCCAAAATCTATAACGAAATCAACTCTAAGTGTAATTATAATTATTTTCATCAGTGTAAATTAAAAAATAATATCTCCTCATTTAATGAAAAAGTATATATTATTGAAAAATCCTTTACGAAATACAACAAAACAAAAAAGTATACATAATAAATATGAATAAATAATTTAATACATAATACATATTGCAATAACACACAAATATGTACCCTGCCAGGAAATTTGAGTTTAATTTTGGATACATGAACTGAATAGTCACTATAAAGGCTCAATTTTATGTTTCTCAGTGCTAAGTTAAAAAATTTACAAAAACAAAATACAGTACTTTCTAATTTTGATCATAATTTTGTTAAATTTTAGTGCGTTTTAATATACTAAAAGCAAAATTAAATGATAATAAGTAGATAGAATAAAAATTTCAAAAACTAACACTTTTTAATACACTAAGAAGATAGTTTAATGCAGAATCATTCTTGCTCTCAAAATTCAGAAGGAAAAGTGTTTGCACATTCCCTGCCAACAATTTCTATCCAAATTGTAACCATAACGTTACAGCTTAATGTTTAAAACAATCTAATTTGATATAATCTGAGTGAATGAAAAGTGACCCCGTTCGGAAGAAACTGTTCCGCCTGTTTAATACTTACTTGATGTGCCCATTTCGTTTCAGTTTCAAGTCACTTTTTTATAACATAAAATTTCGTAAATGTAGTAAATTTCCAGTTTTGCCATAACAATAGAGAAGCTGGAAAGTGTTATGATTTTATACTCTTTTATGATATAAAAGCGACTTTATAATAATTTTTTTTATTTCTCCTTTATTATACTGTTTTGCACTCACTAATCCCTCACTGATGCTTATTTTATATTAAACTATGTTTTAAATATATTAAATTTTAAATTAACACAATTTATTACAAAATCTAAATTTCACAATATATCACACAACTGATCACAATGAAATAAATATATTTACTGAAATGTGCAAACACTTTTCCTTCTGAATTTTGAGAGCAAGAATGATTCTGCATTAAACTATCTTCTTAGTGTATTAAAAAGTGTTAGTTTTTGAAATTTTTATTCTATCTACTTATTATCATTTAATTTTGCTTTTGGTATATTAAAACGCACTAAAATTTAACAAAATTATGATCAAAATTAGAAAGTACTGTATTTTGTTTTTGTAAATTTTTTAACTTAGCACTGAGAAACATAAAATTGAGCCTTTATAGTGACTATTCAGTTCATGTATCCAAAATTAAACTCAAATTTGCTGGCAGGGTTTCAGTAAATATATTTATTTCATTGTGATCAGTTGTGTGATATATTGTGAAATTTAGATTTTGTAATAAATTGTGTTAATTTAAAATTTAATATATTTAAAACATAGTTTAATATAAAATAAGCATCAGTGAGAGATTAGTGAGTGCAAAACAGTATAATAAAGGAGAAATAAAAAAAAAAAAATATTATAAAGTCGCTTTTATATCATAAAAGAGTATAAAATCATAACACTTTCCAGCTTCTCTATTGTTATGGCAAAACTGGAAATTTACTACATTTACGAAATTTTATGTTATAAAAAAGTGACTTGAAACTGAAACGAAATGGGCACATCAAGTAAGTATTAAACAGGCGGAACAGTTTCTTCCGAACGGGGTCACTTTTCATTCACTCAGATTATATCAAATTAGATTGTTTTAAACATTAAGCTGTAACGTTATGGTTACAATTTGGATAGAAATTGTTGGCAGGGTATATATGTATGTAAATGCATGTAAGTTATTATACATAGCTGCCGGACTTACCTGATGAGGTGATGGTGAGGCTTGCGAAGGTTGAGGCGATGGACTGGGCGCATGACTCGGACTACTGCTAGGTGGTGGACCACCATGCTGTGTATGATGAGGTGATGCTGGCGGCAGGGGATGGCCACCAGGGCCAGGACTAGGAGCAGGTGATGAACCACCAGGCCAAGGCCGATTTGGTTCAGGATACTGCAAAAAAAAAATGAGGAAAAAAACAAATAAACATTAATACATTTTTTGTTACTGCCACAAATAAATAAATAAATAAAATGCCATAAAAAAGAGCAATGTTGTAGAAAAAAACCAAATATTTATTTAAATTAAATAAAAACGTGTTTGTGAAAAAATTGCTGCTTTTTTATCTCGTGTTTCAAATTAAAACAAAAAATTTGCAATTACATGTATTTGTTATTGTAGGATTTTTATGAATTTCTGCTTAAAAAGGAATTTATTTTATAGCATTAAATTTGTAGGGTTTTGTTTTGAGAATAGTTTTTATAAATTGTAAACTTTTATGTGTTCAGTTCTAGAAAAAATTAATGAAACTTTTTAAAATATTTACCCGTACTTTGTTTAACACATAAATATGGAAGTTTGTTTTTTATAAACATGATTTATTTATCTTTAAAGTACTTTCCCGGATATTTAAGTGTAATTAATTTTTTTTAATGCAATATGTCTTTATCAAACATAAATTGTTAACAAATTTGTCAAAAAGAAAGTCTCTTGAATACAAAAATGCTTTAATTTTAAATAATAAACTTGACTAAATCGCTTGTAAGCATCACTGAAATTTGACAGCTTTTAAAAACCTTGTCATATTGCTTTAATGGTTGGTAACAGTCCATTTTAGTTCTAGTTCAGTTCCAGATCAGTTCTAGTTCAGTTCTAGTTCAGTTCTAGTTCAGTTCTAGTTCAGTTCTTGTTCAGTTCTAGTTCAGTTCTAGTTCAGTTCTAGTTCAGTTCTAGTTCAGTTCTAGTTCAGTTCTAGTTCAGTTCTAGTTCAGTTATATCTTTTTTATATATTCTATCGCAGTTCTACTTCAATTCTACTTTAGTTCTAGTTCATTTTTTATATTGCTATTAAAGCATTGTAAAAAATAGCATTGCCAGATTGCTAAGGTTTCCTTTAGAGTTTGACAACATTGATATAAAGGCAATTTTTACAAATATAATTAACTACTAACAAGAGTAAAGAACAAAATTCAAATTAAGCACCAAAAAACGACAATGAACTTTTAAGACAAAATCACTTGCCTAGAGTACACATAGAACCTAACCGCACTTATACATATTAAACACATTGATACATACGAGTACATTTTGCAGCTGCAGGCAGGCAGCAGCAGCATCAATATAAAATCGAAAATCAGATAAATAGATGGACGGATGGATGTATAGATGACTGACTGAACGATTGTATGAATGGTGATGATAAAATAGACAAACTTTATAAGGATAATGGCTATTGCACATTAAAGTAGAAGGAAAAACATTTAAACTAACATACAATATGACAAATATATGTATGTGTTTAAACACAATATGTACATTACATTTTCATACATACATACATACAAACACAACATGTGAAAATAGTTTGGTAAAAGTATATTTACATACTTAATGTCTACAAAGTGCATCACTGCATTAACTACACACATAAAAGCAAATATATGTAAGTGTATTGACAATCAAAATACATAGATGGGACAAAAACGACAAACTACTAAACAATGCCACATTATTATATCCTTAACAACGAGAATAGTTTGATAATATTCTAAAAATATTACTATATAGCCACTTTACAAATTTTATCTCGACATGCTAACTACATTCCAACAGCTGGTATGAATGTCCACAATTTTAACTCTTTAAAAGCAACATTGGTAAGTTCTAATACATCTGGCAACTATCATTAAACAGCTGTTTAAATCGCAAATACTGAGCAGAGCGATTTTATTTAAAGTTAAGTCATACAAACGACTGATTAATTGTCTTTTTTTGTATATGAAAATTTTCATTGCAACTATTTACTGTTATATTTTTTTTTGCACTGAACAAACAGCCTTCGCATTACTATTTACTTTTACAGAAATGGGTTTGTGTATATATTTGACTAACATTGATGTGTTTGTGTCTAAATATTTATGGTCAAAATAATGCTTCGTTGTTCAATACTTTAGTACAAATAATTGATACCCACATTTTCAAACTCTTACAGAGTTACAAACACATAGTGATAGATATTCAGTTCAATTAAAACAACAAATTTCATAAAAATCGAATAAAGACATCTTAAGAAATTGATTCCAGTTCAGTTCAAATCAAGTACAGTTCTAGTTCAGTTCAGTTCAGTTCAGTTGCAGTTCAGTTCCAGTTCTGTTCTAGTTCAGTTCTAGTTCAGTTCTAGTTCAGTTCTAGTTCAGTTCTAGTTCAGTTCTAGTTCAATTCTAGTTCAGTTCTAGTTCAGTTCTAGTTCAGTTCTAGTTCAGTTCTAGTTCAGTTCTAGTTCAGTTCTAGTTCAGTTCTAGTTCAGTTCTAGTTCAGTTCTAGTTCAGTTCTAGTTCAGTTCTAGTTCAGTTCTAGTTCAGTTCTAGTTCAGTTCTAGTTCAGTTCTAGTTCAGTTCTAGTTCAGTTCTAGTTCAGTTCTAGTTCAGTTCTAGTTCAGTTCTAGTTCAGTTCTAGTTCAGTTCTAGTTCAGTTCTAGTTCAGTTCTAGTTCTAGTTCAGTTCTAGTTCAGATCTACAGTTCTAGTTCAGTTCTAGTTCAGTTCTAGTTCAGTTCTAGTTCAGTTCTAGTTCAGTTCTAGTTCAGTTCTAGTTCAGTTCTAGTTCAGTTCTAGTTCAGTTCTAGTTCAGTTCTAGTTCAGTTCTAGTTCAGTTCTAGTTCAGTTCTAGTTCTGTTCTAGTTCAGTTCTAGTTCAGTTCTAGTTCAGTTCTAGTTCAGTTCTAGTTCAGTTCTAGTTCAGTTCTACTTCAGTTCTAGTTCAGTTCTACTTCAGTACTGCAATTCAGTAACTTTTTAACTACAAAATTTTGTCGTTAAATAGTAAAAAATCGTAAGTTAACAATAATTGTCGTTATGTGGTATTCTGAATTATATTTCACCGATTTTTTTTGTTAAACATAACGAAAAGTATCGGCAATGTAACGACAAATAAAAAGTTCACGTTAATAATTTTATATTTTAAAAATATTTCAATACAAAACTTTTGACATTCTCATATTTTTCCGATATTTGTCGTTAAAATATTCTAAGGTCGTTAAAAAGTTACAGAATTGAGAATTCGTTAATGCAACCGATATTTATCGTTACTTTACGATATCGGTAGTTAAAATTAAAAAATTACAGAATTGCGGTACAGTTCTACTTCAGTTCTACTTCAGTTCTACTTCAGTTCTAGTTCAGTTCTAGTTCAGTTCTAGTAAAGTAAAGATCACTTACAGTTCTAGTTTATTTAAAGATCTGTTGCTATTCTAGCTCACTTAAAGATCTAGTTCAAGTTCCAGTTTCAATTCGATTCCAGAGAAGTTCCAGCTCATTGAAGATTAGTTCTCGATCAGCTTTAATTAATTTCTAGCTCTGCTCAAGTTCAGTTGAGTTCAGTATTTACCCAAATATGTATTAAGATGAAATAGTTTATTCCATCATTATAAAATGTTTATCTCTCTTACAAGGTAAAAGAGGAATTTTTAAAATCTAACAATCATTTGTTAACAAAATTTACATCAGCTGCAAAGTATGCAAAAAGTATATGCCAGGTCTTGACTAAAAAAAAGCAGACAAGTGTGTAGGTGGCGGTAGTGCACGATGTGATGGATGTTATAAATTCAAATAATAGCAGAGCAAGCAATAACAAAATCTCTATAGAATTTTACAATTTACAATGTACATAGTATATATTAATAATTTATTATATGACGACAAGTGCTTATAATAGTTGTCGTACGAAGTAAATGGTCAAGTTCGTTCGATAGACTAAACTGACTGACAGCTGTAGGGACAAAATGACATATAGATAGGCAGGGTGGACAGACAAGCAGGGACGACATTTAGTTTGATAAATGGAAATATGTGTAATATACGTTACTAATTTATAAATGCTAGGAAAAATTCACAATTAAACATAGATTTTTAGGCTCAGAGACAACAAATTTAGTTTAATAAATAATGTTATTATTTTTCAGTTTTTGTGGGTTTATGGTTAAAGTGGGAGTCAAATTTTGACATTTAAACTTTAATTATAAATATAAATAACTGGAATATTTTGATAGTGAATTTGTTTAATATTTTCCATAAAAAAGGATCAGATACAACTTATGTATTAGGTTTCCAGAAATTCTAAGTTCTAAAGCTTACCTGATGCGTCGTATAGGCAGTTCGATGATTTGGTCCTGTCGCTGGGCCAGGCGGTGTGGGATATCTTTGTGGATACGGTGAATATTGAGATGGTGTTGTGCCTTGATTTGAAGATTGTGGCGGCGGTGGTGGACCACCTCCACTACCGCCACCACTACCACTACTACTTTGTTGCTGCTGTTGTTGTTGCTGCTGTTGTTGCCCCGGCTGTGGTTGCTGAGGCGAACTTGGATAGGAACCTGAGTTTTGACCTTGTGATGGCGGATAGGGGGATTGACCTCTGGAAGTATTTGTCTAAAATAAAGCAAATAAAAAAAATAACAAATTAATAAACATTTTAATAATAAATTTATAAAGAAAATAGCAGCAAATTTGTTTTCAACAACTAAAAGTTCAATAATCAAAATTTAATAAGTTTCCCAGAAAAAGAAACTCTATGGAAAAAAGATAATTAAATATAAATGCCTTAATAAGGAACTATATAACAGGATAAAGAAGAATTTCAAAATACAAACATAATTTTCTTGAAAATTTAGCAACAAATACTCATACCGTTTCTGTTTGCCCCCAAAACAATAGCAAAGGAAATTTGTTGTATACACTTTACTGCTCAAAAACAATAGCAACATTATCTAAAATGTATGGAAGGCTGGCTGACTGGCAGTCAGTCAGGCAGGCAGCCGAACAGGCAAAAGTTAAAGAAGATGAGTCAAAGAACATTATATAGTAATTTAATAAATGACAGGATGAAAACCATCATCCCAACAACAACAAACCATACCACAGCACAGTGTTACAAACAACAACGACAATATTTTGATGGCGTTTTAATAAAATCGATTTAACCCCTACTCCTCTCTCTCTCTCTCCACCACTTACAAAATAGGAGAACACTGTAAAGTTAGTTTAATGGCAAATTGACAGACAAGAGGATGGGTGGTTGGTGCAGAATAATTTTGCAACAAATAACTATTTGCTACTATTTATCATTTCAGGAAAATAAATTTATAATAATCCTTTGAAATATAATTAAAAATATATTAAGGTGTTTTCAAAATGTTTCAAGTCATTTGTTAGACTGACGGTTTGGTAACGGTAATTATAAACTGGAGTATTGAGAATATTTAATGTTTATGAAGGAAATGTTTAATAAATTTTAAGTTAGTTAAAGTTTGTTTAAAGTTAAGAGATTTAATAGGTTTATTTGGTTTATAAATATACTGTGGGGAATACATTTTGAAAGCTATTAGCCTTATTTAAGAGACATTAGAAAAAATATTACAATTAATAGCAAAAAAATCATTATAAAATTTGAAAACTGTACAAAAACTGAACTAGAATTAAACTAAAATTAAACTAGAACTGAACTAGAAATGAACTAGAACTGAACTAGAAATGAACTAGAACTGAACTAGAAATGAACTAGAACTGAACTAGAACTGAACTAGAACTGAACTAGAACTGAACTAGAACTGAACTAGAACTGAACTAGAACTGAACTAGAACTGAAATAGAACTGAACTAAAACTGAACTAGAACTGAACTAGAACTGAACTAGAAGTGAACTAGAACTGAACTAAAACTGAACTAGAACTGAACTAGAACTGAACTAGAACTGAACTAGAACTGAACTAGAACTGAACTAGAACTGAACTAGAACTGAACTAGAACTGAACTAGAACTGAACTAGAACTGAACTAGAACTGAACTAGAACTGAACTAGAACTGAACTAGAACTGAACTAGAACTGAACTAGAACTGAACTAGAACTGAACTAGAACTGAACTAGAACTGAACTAGAACTGAACTAGAACTGAACTAGAACTGAAGTAGAACTTAACTAGAACTGAACTAGAACTGAACTAGAACTGAACTAGAACTGAACTAGAGCTGAACTAGAACTGAACTAGAACTGAACTAGAATAGAACTAGAACAAAGCAAAAACAAAACTAGAACAGAACTAGAACAGAACTAGAACTGAACTAGAACTGAACTAGAACAGAACTAGAACAGAACTAGAACAGAACTAGAACTGAACTAGAACTGAACTAGAACTGAACTAGAACTGAACTAGAACTGAACTAGAACTGAACTAGAACTGAACTAGAACTGAACTAGAACTGAACTAGAACTGAACTAGAACTGAACTAGAACTGAACTAGAACTGAACTAGAACTGAACTAGAACTGAACTAGAACTGAACTAGAACTGAACTAGAACTGAACTAGAACTGAACTAGAACTGAACTAGAACTGAACTAGAACTGAACTAGAACTGAACTAGAACTGAACTAGAACTGAACTAGAACTGAACTAGAACTGAACTAGAACTGAACTAGAACTGAACTAGAACTGAACTAGAACTGAACTAGAACTGAACTAGAACTGAACTAGAACTCAACTAGAACTGAACTCGAACTGAACTAGAACTCAACTAGAACTGAACTAGAACTGAACTAGAACTCAACTAGAACTGAACTAGATCTGAACTAGAGGATTATTAGGTTTTCTAAAATATTTAATAAAATATTCTTTTCATTAATCATATAATACTTTTTGTCCTTACACATTAGAGATTTATTTAAAAGTTATAATTCATAAAGAAATCATACATATAATGGAAATTTCTACACACAGAGAAAAATTTCAATCAGTTGCCATATACAATGATGAAACAACAACATAAATAGAATTTTTCAATCTCAAACAATCGAAAAGTTTAAAATAGTTAGTTAGTTAGTTAGTTTGAAAGGAGGACGTATATACATCAAATCCGAAGAAATACACCTAGGCCTCTATCGGGCCTGTTGTGCGCTCCTTAACCAGTGCCTCAGGTGGGAATCGAACCCACCACCTCCGGTCTACCAGACTAGAACACTAACCACTAACCTACCGGAGGCCACAAAAAGTTTAAAATAATTAAAGTTATTTGTTATTCAATAATCAGAAACACAAAAGTTGTTTAACATAATTTTTCTCTGTGTATTTGAAATCATTACTACTATTATTTAACATTTCTCGTTTGCTGTTATATTTTATTTGATTCGGTAAATTATACTTTGTATAACAATTTACATAATTACATACCAGTGGACGGACAGACAGAGCAGACAGACATTTTACACATTTATATTTTGTATATAAAAATAACAATAGGAATATTTATTCTTATCATTTACATATTATTAATAACAAATTTAAACAGAAAATTGTGTATATTTATTGTTAAATGGTTTTGTGCGTGTTTAAATATCCTGGAGGATAAATATGGAAAAGGCAAGGCAATCTAAGGGCCTTTTATTTAATTGATAGAGAATTCCATTTACATATAAGGAAGTGAATCTGAGAATATTGATATTAATGTATGTGACTGTTCAAAATTCTTCGTAAATTCATGAAAAATTTATAAAATTTTTGTATGAAAATTATAAAAGAAACAACAACAACAAGTGTATAAAGCATGGATTTTCATGGAAAAATCATCCTTTTACACATACCTACTGCAACAATGTATACATATGCTTTCAATTAGTATAAGTTGTATATGTAGGAATCAGTCATGGCCACTTTTTGACACTTTCAATACGATCTCAAATAACAAATTTTACAAAATTTAAGAATGATCTACCAGCTTAAGTTTTTATTCTAAAAAATTTACATTTATTTCAGCTTCACACTTGCACAAGTAACAATATATCATTATATAGATTGGCCCTCACTGTTTTTAACAACAAACACATATCTTTTTCATATATCCATATACGCAATTGCGTGTACACATGTGTAAAAGGATACAATTATATCGTTTCATTGTATTTGTATACATAGATATATCTATGTATATTTAAATATGGTATTAATGTATGTACATAAGTATGTAGAATGTAATGTATAGATAGTAAAATAATTTCAATGTACATACATACATACATACATCTACTTAACTTTTATATGTATACATGAGATTTTACCAGTATCAATAAATGTCTATATGTCTGTATGTGTGTATCTACAATTTAATCGATTTTCCAAAACCAATTCATACGTTTCATTCATTCACCCAACCATACAAATAGTCATAGATATACACAGCAAACACACAAACACACATACACATAAAAAAAAGTAAACCAAATACAGACTAATGTAACATTATATCGAAACAATATTGAACAGAAATGATAGTAGGAAAAAAATATATATAAAACAAACGACAAAAATATTAAGATTATTGAGTATTTTTCCTAGAATATTGAAAAAAATTATACATTAAGCTATAGAGCAATTTTTGATGGAGAAATAACATAGCATAATCATAGTCATTGTCAGAAGCTTGAACAAAAAGCTTTAATATTTAATAAAATTAAATTTAAAATGTTCTTATTTTGTTAAAAGAAAGTGGATCTAGTTTGAAATATAACAACTTGAAATAAATAAGTCAATAATCTTAACTACAGATCAGTCTAAAGTCTTAACTAAAGATCAGTCTATAGTCTTGACTATAGATCAGTCTATAGTCTTGACTATAGATCAGTCTATAGTCAAAACTATAGATCAGTCTATATTCTAGACTATAGATCAGTCTATAGTCTAGACCAGAGGAGCTCAATATTGCCATTACATAGCACGCGTGATAGGGTAAGAAAATTCTGCTGACGCTAAGTTGGTACACATACACTATAGGTTTAATTCTTCTTCTTTTTATAATGAGCAATATCAGTTGGTTTTCTCTCAACTTGAAAAACAAAATCAAATCAGTTGCTGATCAGCACTTGTCGAAGCGAGGTCTGTGCGCGACGTTTTTAAAATACACACAGAAATACAACAACAAAATTTTGAGAAAGCCGAATTAATGTAGGAGAACGTGAGAGAACAGTTGACAGTTTTTTACATATAGACTTTGATATACGCTGGCTGTCAAAATCCGTAATAAATATTTGACAGTTAGCATATACTTTATAGTTTGTAGTAATTTTATTCGTATACTTTTATTTTGAATTGAATTCTGTTCTCTGCTGCTTTACCAACATAAATAAAACTATGGTAATCTATGGTGGTATGTGTTTGAGCAACACTGGTCTAGACTATAGATCAGTCTACAGATTGTATAGTCTTGACTATAGGTCAATCTACAGATTGTATAGTCTTGACTATAGATCAATCTATAGTCTTGACTATAGGTTTGTCTACATTCTTGACTATAGATGAGTCTATAGTCTTGACTGTAGATCAGTTTATAGTCTTGAGTAAACATCGGTCTACAGTATTTACTATAGATCAGTATATAGTCTATA